GACAGATGCGGGCTCGATCCCAGGATCCCGAGACCATAACCTAAGCCAAAGGCAGAGGCTTAACCCACTGAGCCACCCAGGTGCCCCAGAATCTGTTAGTCTTAAGGCACACTGCATTATTTCCACCTATTCTGCTTTTTTCTGATATGGATTACCTGTTCCTTCATTTTTAAGGTCACTCTAAAATCTATTCCAGATTCCTTGAGGTATGTACTTGTGTACCTTTTGGTCTGCATGTCTTTTAAAGAGGAGCACTTTCAAACTCATCACTTGGTCAATTATGGTTATTAGTGCTAAGCTCAAGGTTGTGCATACTATCATTTCACATGATCTCTCAAGCTTCTCAGATAGGTGCTTAATCATTTAGAAGCCACTTTCAACTTCAGCAACGTTAGAAAATGGTATGTTGCTCAGATTCTTGAAAATTCATGACTTTCTAAAACAAGAATCATAGAAGAGCAGTAACATTTGCCAGAGAGACAAGCTCCTAGCAGCCTGCCCTAGAAATCCAGATCTTCTAGATGGAACCCAATCCCCTGGGCAGGCAGGGTCTCATGCTTACCTCAGGGTAGGGTAGCCTTGGTCTTGGCTGTCAGACTGTAGCTCAGGGCATGGTCTTTCAAGGTTTCAAAAGCAGAGCCATGTTGCTCTTAATTTAGACATACTTTAAGTAGTTCAGTTATATCTGGTTTCCTAGATAATGGAGTAGAAACAGAGAAATACCAAGTTAGAGTAGAGGAAATAAGCTCACAAAAGCAAGCAGTGGCAGTAAACAGTATGAAAGGCCAACAGAGGAAACTACAAAGCAAACACTGGAACCTGAAAAGCAAAGCAGCCTGGGGCCTACTAATTAAGAGCAGATGACCAAATTTATTATCCTTGCAGCCCTTGAACTGAGAATACTGGGAGAGAAAGATGATAATATTTGAAAAATGGCAAAAAACATCCCAACTTTATTGAAAAACAATAACCCACCCAGGAAGCCCAATGAAGAGACCCACAAATAGAGTAAAAAGTCTGAAAATCAAAGATAAGGAAAGTATCTTGGGAAAAGCTGGAGAAAAACAAAGTATCACTTACAAGGAAGCCCAGTAAGATCCACAGCTGACTTCTCAGCGGGAACAATGGAAGCCAGAAAGCAGTGGGGAAATATTCAAATTGGTAAAAACCAACCAACCAACCAACCAACCAAACAAAAAAAACTATCAGCCAAGACTTGATATCCAGCAAACGTATTCTTTAAAAAATGAAAGTGAAATAAAGACTTTCCCAGGTAAACTGAAACTGAAAGAATTTGTTGTTCGGCCAAGTCATCTTACAAGAGATATTCTAGGAAGTTCTTCAGAGTGAAAGCAAGTGATGTCAGACAGTAATACAAATCCACAGGACCAACCAGAGAACACCATTACATAAATGCATATTTTTCCCACTTCTTTTCTTAAATGAATTAAAAGTAATTTCATAAATTATGTATATACAATTCACCCATACATAATATGGGGTTGGGGTACTGCCCCCCTACACAGTCAAATATCCCCTTATAACTTTTGACTCCCCCAAAACTTAACAGTCTGCTATTAACCAAAACCTTATCAAATAAGTTGATTAACATATATTTTATAGGTATTACATACTATATATTTACAGTGAAGTAAGCTAGAAATGAAAAAGTTATTAGGAAATTCGTAAGTAAGGGGCACCTGTGTGTTGCTCAGTTGGTTAAGCATCTGACTTCAGCTCAGGTCGTAAGCCCAGGGTCCTGGGATGGGACCCTGCACCAGGCTCCCTTCTCCCTCTGCTGCTCCCCTTGCTTGTGTCCTCTCTCTCTCAAATAAATTTAAGTAAACATAAAAAAACTAATAATAAAATCATAAGTAAAATAATGTTATTGTACTGTATTCATTGCAAATATCTGCATACAGATCTACATATAGACTTCTATAGTTCATACTTGTGTTAAGGGCCAACTGTAACCTACTATTGGGCCTGTAATGTACATAGAAGTGTAATATATGTGTAATTGCCAACAACAGCACCAGAGGTGAATGTGAGCAAAGCTGTAACAACATGAGGAAACAACCACAGATGGTAAAGTAGTAATTGTTAACAATGCATTGTTAGGTGTGGTGGAACATTAACAGACCTAGTATGTGGGGATTGCCTAGAAAATATTTATTAGACTTGGTGCTCAATGAGATAATGTTTTAGATACTATTATACAGTGTTATATTCCCTATCAGCCACCCTCTCCAACCTCCCCTAAAAACCCACAAAAAACTCATCATCCAAGTACGAGGAATCCTTTTTTGGCTTTCGTCACTTTGACAGCCAGACTAAAAACTTATTTGGAGTTACTTCTCTGTGGTTTATCCTGGGATCCTGGTTTCAGAAGACCAGACTTTAAAAATCAGCCAATTTTGGACAGTGGAAATAAGAACAAGTTCCTCCCCCCCTCTTTTCTAATTACAAAAACAACATAGCAATGTAGAGGATGTCTAGGAAAGGAAAAAAAATTCAGTTATAATCCTAATACCTCAATATAATCATTCTTTTATCCCATGAGCATTTAATTTTACAGAGGTGTAACAGTTTATATTTTCATTTTTCAATTGGGATTGTATTAGATACTTCGGAAAATTTAATTATCATTTTCAATAGCATCACATGTATTCAGAGATCTACAAGCCACTTTCTTGGTCTCTCTCCTACCTGCCCAATCTAATTTCTTATGGTGGACTTAGATGGCCTGGAGCCCAAAACTTCCAGATTTAGAAGAGCTGGGGGGGGAAAAACAGCAAAATCTCTCTCGTGAAGCTCTAGATGACCTCTGGATTATGCCAGATTTAAACTTGAATATATCTACAGAATTTGAAACTGTTTAAATAAAAGTTTCATCTGAGTAGTATTTATATGATAAATTGCTAATTAGAAGTCTTGATTTTTAGTCCATGAATCCACCATACTTTGAATAATTTGGAACAGGGCAGTACATTTAACATTTTAAAATTCAGACACTCCTATATCCATAGACCTACCCTACTACCCTTCTTACCTCAATTCAATACACGATCTTAAGCAGTAACTTTGGGGAGGGGAGAGGAAAAAAAAAAACAAACTCAAAACTCAACCTTGAAATAATGTAAGACAATAGCTGAAATGTGCATTTTACCAGCAGATACAAAATATCACAAATCACTTAAAAATAGCATTTTTCGGGGGCACCTGGGTACGGCTCAGTTGGTTGATCTCAGGGTTCTGGGATCGAGTCCCACACTGGGTTCTCTGCTCTGGTGGGAGATCGCTTCTCCCTCTACCATTCCCTCTGCTTGTGCTCACTCTTTCCCTGTGAAATAAGTATTTCAAAAAAAAATAAAAATAAAAATACCATTTTCCCCATGATTTTAATATAGTTCTCTAATAAGGATTTCATTAGAAGCATACTCTTAAAAACATTCTTCTGTGTTAAAATGGTATTATGCCAATTTAGTACATGTCCTACAGATAAAGAGCAAAATAATTTCATCCACTGGGTTTCTAATGAAAGAACAACTTTTTAGCTCAGTGACATTTATAAAGACTCTAAGCTTCGTTTCCGTTTTTTGTTTTTTTTTTTTAAACTAATGTTTAGTGGGTCATTTCCAGGCTTAAGGTATTTGCTTCCTTCCTTGGTATTACTCATTCAACTAGTCAGTCAGATGCATAATCTCTTAGACATGTAGTAGACCAATGTCTTCTTTCTGCATCCTGCATAACTCAAAACACAACACCAGGTATCCTGTGTAGTTCCTTTTTCAGTTACTGCACACTTGGCATGTACATCATCATTAGAATATAACATGCTACTATAGTATTTAACCATAATGCCTGTTTAAAATTAAGACAACAGGGGGGCCTGGGTGGCTCAGTCAGTTAAGTGACTATCCTGTTCAGGTCATGATCCTGAGGGGAGTCCCTCTGGCCTCCCGATCTTGGGGTCTCTCTTTCAAATAAGTAAAATCTTTAAAAAAATAAAATAAAATTAGGACACAAATTAAAAGCCCACCCATCACCATTTAGTATAGCCACTTTGATACTTTTTTCAATGTAATTGCTTATTCTCAGTGTTGATAACACTGATATAACACCTGTTTATTCATGTGACTACTACAATCTTCACTGTTTTAACACAACCAAACAGCTGTTACTGAGCCTACTGAAAATGGATTAGTGTTAAAATACTTTAAATATATAAATCATTAATTTGATAAATGTGAAAGGCACAACTTACCTAGTATACAATGAATAATTAACTGTTAAGAAATCTAAGCCATTTTAAAAATAAAATATTACTAATATTGGAGAGCAAGTAAGTTTTTGTTATAATTCAAAAGGATCATTGGTATTAGTCCAGGTAAATTTTATGAAAATAGTAAGTACAACTAATGACAATTATATTGTAGATCTTGACAATGTTACTCTTCTTTGGGTTTGTTTCCTCATCTGTAAAATGAAGGAATTGAGCTATTTCATATCCAAAGTTTTATTTTTGGAGTTTTTCTGGCTTTCCATAATACCTGTTCTCAGAAAGTTATTTTTGTCATATGGAATGTCTAAATGCACCAAGAACCTTCCATTTATAGGAAATTGATGGCAGTCTGCAATTTAAAAAAAATTTATTTTCACGTTTCAAGCTTTCTTAAACTGAGTAATACCTAATATTTATAGAAATCACCAAGAAAAACTACTGTAATACATTCTTAGGTAGGACACAAAAGTGGTAAATTGAAGTCAGTCAGAAGTCTGGAAAAGTGTATAGATTATAAACCAATTAATTGAAGTTCTCATACTGTCTTTTGTACTTGAAGATATGGCAGGAGTTATGTACTCTGCCAACCATTTCCCCAGGATTAGTGTTACCATCCAAATTCCACCATGCTGGTATGCACAAAAAAGAGAACTATAAGATAAGATCCTCTTTGACACTAAGGAAACTATCAAAATAAGTTAACTTGAGGCTATTCTACCCCAGGTTAAAAATCGGTATGAGTCTTTACAGATGAATGGGGCTGAGATTTTCATTACATTAGAAACATAAGAGATAATTATCAATCAATCAGTTCCATCTCTTCATTTCTAGTGAGGAAACTGGTCCACAGATGTGACTTGGCAAGGCCACAGATCTAATTGGTGTCCGGTGAGAAGAGAACCCAGATCTCCTTGCCAATTCTTCTACATGATACTATCTTCTGGATGCCATGGCGCGGGCAATGCTCTGAAAAGGTAGGAGAAATCTAAATGGAGTATCAAATCTTTTTTTTTTTTTTTTAAAGATTTTATTTATTTACTTGACAGAGATCACAAGTAGGCAGAGAAGCAGGCAGAGAGAGAGAGGAGGAAGCAGGCTCCCCGCGGAGCAGAGAGCCCAATGCGGGGCTCGATCCCAGGACCCCGGGATCATGACCTGAGCCGAAGGCAGAGGCTTTAACCCACTGAGCCACCCAGGCGCCCCTGGAGTATCAAATCTTAAAGGTGACATCCACAGTCCATCTAGTTCAACTTCACATTTAAATCTGGAGTTTCTTCTGAAGCACTGGGGCAGAGGTCATTCTGCTTCTCCCTAGTGATAAGATCCTCTTTGACACTAAGGAAGCAATCCCCTTCTGTCATGGACATATAACCATTTGCTTCTTCACACTGAGCTCTAATCTGCCATTTTGGAACTTTCACCTAGTTGTATTGAGTCAAAAAGAATAAACTGTACATGTCTCTCAAATATCAGAACACAGCTATCATTACATAATTCTCCAGTTGGTCTTTGGGTTATGGTTTGTGGGACCCTTTCCGACTTGGTAAAACATTCCAGGATTTATTCTCATTTGTGAATATCCTTTCATTGCATCTTGAAATGAAATTAGTATTTACAGAGGTGGTTTGATTAGCCTTTTGTATGAGATTATTGCCCCATGGTTAATATTTCTGCATCTTAAAATTGCAGCCAATTACAACTGGCTCACATTATTTCTAGCAAACTAAAAATACCCAGGTTTTTTTCCTTCATCTGTAAACTCTTGATAAATGCAATTCCATATTCCTATCAATGGCTTTCTATTGTATGTAGGATAATAATCAGGGTCCACGACACCACGTATGATTGTGCCCGTAACCAATTTGTGAGCTTCATCTTTATGCCATCTGTTCCCCTTGACTTCTGGCCAGGCTTTTTACACTTCAAATGCACTGTCCTTCCTCTAGGCTTCCACATACTATTCCCTTCAGCAAGCAATGATTTCCCTTGGCCACCGGGTTGAGTCATCCTTCATAATTTGTATCCAGGGGTGCCTGGGTGGCTCAGTGGGTTAAAGCCTCTGCCTTCAGCTCAGGTCATGATCCCAGGGTCCTGGGATCGAGCCCCGCATCAGGCTCTCTGCTCAGCGGGGAGCCTGCTTCCTCCTCTCTCTGTCTCTGCCTGCCTCTCTGCCTACTTGTCGGTCATATAAGTAAATAAAATGTAAAAAAAAAAAAATTTTTTTTTGTATCCAGTATCACTTTGTGAAACTCTTCCTTGGCCTTCTCCACATGTTCCCCTCCATAAAGTACAATTAACCTGTTATAATAAGCTACAAATCTTCCTCAGCCCTTATCCAAACACTAATAATGTATCTGTGTCCTCGGTTATGCTGTCAAGTCTATGAGAACATGGTCCATGTCTACCTTTAGCTGGCCTAGAGTATTACATGATTTAGACATTCAATAAATATTTGTTGAATGAATGAATACTGAATTAGTATGATCAATATTTTAAATTTAACAAGTAACCAAAGAAAACACATAGGTAAACTCTGGGGTGCAGGTTGTACAGTAGGTCCACAACAACCTTGAGAAGAAACCTCTCCAAAAGAAGAAGGGATGAGAAAACTACACAACTATGTTCTGTAAAGATGAATGGTAAATGTTTTCAGTCTCTATGGTAAGGGATGGGAAGCATGGAATAAGGCAAACAAGCGCAGCTGGGTGGTATATTTGTTGTTTTACTGTTAATTTGACACATCTGAACCAAAGCATTCACAATACTTGATATACTTTGAAGAGAATCATATACTATAGTCTTAGAACCACAGAACAAGCAGAACAATTAAAACTACGTAAGGCCTTAAAATATATCCACAGTGTGTATTATTTCAATATTCATTCATTTACAAATTAGACTACATACCGTTAATTTTATTTTTCTTTTTCTTTCAATGTTTTATTCAGGCAGGATTCATTCAAGGAAAGGCAACTTAGTTTTTGTGTGTCAGTTTTATTTTTGACTACATTGGTTAATATAAAAGTTATGAATTAAATGTTCTCTTATCTCCTGTATTCCAGGAGTGAATCCATGAAATTCTCAGATAGTAACCTAAAACAACAGATCCTATTAAAAATAGCCAAGGTGAAAAACAACCAAATAGCCAGCCTGTTTGTGGTCTTGAAGAACATCTAATGGACTCTTCAGGTTTTCTTATAATGAAGAGTACTGCAATTCTATGAGATTAGTCAAAATTTAAAACAACATTGCGTACAAAATCATTCTTGAAGCTCTAAATGCCCTTTTAAATAATAAAAACGAGAATTTTAAGTAGTTGCCTCATAGTACCAAACCTATAAATCAGAACTAGTTAAGATTCATTCAGTGCTATCATGACTTCTCATTTACAAGGTAACTAGTTGGTAAATTAACAGATGGCATAAAAATTAAGACTTACATCATTTTTTAAAAGGAGAAAATGTATGGTAACCAGGGAATACAGAAAGTTCAATGTATTTTACAATAAAATAACTGTTTAAACCTCAATCCCTGTACAACAGGGTTTAGGTCATCTCTAGTGAATTTGCACGTTTTCATACAGTTTATTCTATTATGAGTACTTGAACTGTTTTAGATATACAGCTTTTTATTGAAGAATATTACATTTATATACCTGGATAAGATTTAGTACGTTGAGATGTTTTAAAAATATCTATAAATTTGATATGCAAAAGCATTTGGCAATACTTTTACAGCATTTGATTTTATAGAATTAAAATTTCATACAGTACTCATTTTGATGTTTAAAAAAAATTCACAGAAAAAAATATAAATTACACAGCCTGACTGCATGATACTGTTATTTCCAGTTTCTAGTTCTGGTAATAAAAACCTTCATTAAGTCTGTTAACAAATCATTACCTGTACATTTATGAAGGCAACTGACATGATTTGCAAACAAAACCTTCAGGTTTTATGTTATTTACCAAAGAGTGCAGTTCAGCAAGAAAAGAAAACCCAGTATGCAAATTTACAGAATATTTTACAAATTTACCAGTTCCTGTGACACAAACTGTTTCAACCTTTCAAGGTACTGTCCATAAAGTTCCACATCATTGTGACCTGCCCCTTCAACCCACAGAGGCTCCACAGGTCTTTGGCAACGCTCAAACAGTGCGAGGCCATGTGAAAAGTCAATGACTTCATCTTCGGTCCCATGAATTATTAATACCGGAGAGGTTATCTTAGAGATTTTGTCAATGCTGTAAAAGAAAGGGGGATAAAGTCAATGAATTAGCTATGAAAAGGAACATAAAACATACTTGTGATATTCTGACAGATCATTCAATTATCAGAATGGTCCTTGAATCAACTCAGAAGAAACGGATGCTTCTTGGATTTCAAGTAAGATTTAAAAGTTACTTTACATACTCCTTATCTTAAGATTGCCTAACTTCATGCACTTCTGTTTTGAGGGAATCATTCAATGGTTACTGGCAACCTACTGCACCTTTCTACAATTTATTTGAGAGCAAGAGAGAAAGTGCAAGTTGGGTGCAGGGGAGAGGCAGAGGGAGAAACAGACTCTTTGCTGAGCAGGGAACCTGATGTGGGGCTCGATCCCCGGACCCTGGGATCATGACCTCAGCCGAAGGCACTCCAAACAATGTTTATCACAAATGTAGGTTGGAAAGAGAGGAGGAAACTAAGGACTATTCAGGTATGTGCTAACTTCATACCTCTGCACTCTTATTTTTTTCTTCCCCCTTAATCTACTAAAATGACAACAAAATCTTTTTTTGTTTTTGTTTTGGGGTTATCAACTCACAGAAATAGGGAGAATGTAATACAACACAAAATTTTGGAGCTGGAAGGCAGATAAATGAGTGGGATAACAGATTGAAATTGTGGGAAAAAGCCAATTTTAAGGGGATACAAGGTAAACGGAAGGAAAAATCCAATTTATACCATGGGATATCCCAGAAGGCTAGGAATTGATATGGGGATGAAGGTAGGTGGTAGAGGAGTTTACAAAATTAGTTCAAAGTCTGTTTAACAATCCTTAAATTTATACGGAACCAAAAAAGACCGCAAATTGCCAAGGAAATGTTTAAAAAGAAAAACAAAGCGGGGGGCATCCCAGTGCCCGATGCTGAGCTGTATTACAAAGCTGTGGTTGCCAATGTAGCATGGTACGGGCACAAACACATGTAGCAGTGGAATAGAACAGAGAGCTCAGATACGAACTGTCCACTCCGCAGCCAACTAATCCTCGACCAAGCACGAAAACTATCCAATGGGAAAAAACAGTCTCTTCAATCAACGGTGCTGGGAAAACTGGACAGCTGTACACAGGATGAAACTCGACCATTCTCTTACGTCATACACAAAGATACACTCAAAATGGATTAAAGAGCTCAATGTGCGACAGGAATCCATCAGAATCCTAGCAGAATATTGGCAGTAATCTCTTTTATATTGGCCACAGCAACTTCTTTTAAGACATGTCTCCAGGGGCACCTGGGTGGCTCAGTGGGTTAAGCCTCTGCCTTCGGCTCAGGTCATGATCTCAGGGTCCTGGGATCGAGCCCCGCATCGGGTTCTCTGCTCGGCAGTGAGCCTGCTTCCCCCTCTCTCTGCCTGCCTCTCTGTCTACTTGTGCTCTCTCTCTCTCTCTGTCAAATAAATAAATAAATAAAATCTTTAAAAAAAAAAAAAAAAGACATGTCTCCAAAGGCCAAGGGAAACAAAAGCAAATATGAACTTTTGGGACTTCATCAAGATCAAAAGCTTCTGCACAGCAACAGCAACAGTCATCAAAACAAAGAGGCAACCCACAGAATGGGAGAAGATATTTGCAAATGACACTACGACAAAGGGCTGAAATCCAAGATCTATAAAGAACTTCTCGAACTCAACACCTAAAAAACAAGTAAGTCAAAAAACTGGCAGAAGACATGAACACAACTTCTCCAAAAAGACATACAAATGGCTAACAGACACACGAAAGAATGTTCATCATCATTAGCCATCAGGGAAATTCAAATCAAAACCACATTGAGATACCACCTTACGCCAGTAAGAATGGCAAAAATTGACAAGGTGAGAAACAACCAATGTTGGAGAGGTTGTGGAGAAGAGGAACCCTCTTACACTGCTGGTGGAAACCCAAGTTGTTGCAGCCACTTTGGAAAACAGTGTGGAGGTTCCTCAACAATTAAAAATAAATGACTCAGCAATTGCACTACTGGGTATTTACCCCAAAGATAGAGATGTACTGAAAAGAATGGCCACATGCAACCCAAGGTTCATAGCAGCAATGTCCACAATAGCCAAATGGTGGAAAGAGCTGAGATGCCCTTCAACAGACAAATAGATGAAGAAGATGTGATCCATATATACACTGGAATTATTACTCAGCCATCAGAAAGGATGAATATGCAACTTCTGCAACAACATGGGTGGGACTGGAGGAGATTATGCTAGGAGAAGTTAGGTCAAGCAGAGAGAGTCAATTATCATATGGCTGCACGTATTTGTGGAACATAAGGAATAGCATGGAGGACATTAGGAAAAGAAAGGGAAAAATGAAGCGGGGGGGGGATCAGGAGTGGGAGACAGAACCATAAGACTATGGACTCCAGGGAAACAAACTGAGGGTTTTAAAAGGGAGGGGGTGGGGGGATGGGTTGGCCTGGTGATGGGTATTAAGGAGGGCATGGGTTGCACGGAGCACTGGATACACAAACAACGAATCATGGAACACTCATCAAAAACTAATGAGGTACTGTATGGTGACTAACATTACATTAAAAAAACAAACAAAATCTGTTAAATAAAGAGGTCCCTCTCCTCCAGATTCTTTCCCCTTCTTTTTGTAAAAATGGTAGCGGCTCTCTACCCAAAACTGAAGGTTTTGTGGACCAGGGAATTGTGAGAACAGTTTGAGGCAAAAGGTAAACACACATATGTGTAAACATATACTGCTGCTACGAACCCATTTTCTGTACTGCATCCCCAGAATGCTGGCAGCCAGGCCCTCATTCCTCCAGAGAGGACTTTTAGAAAGACTCCTTGTTGGAGACCATATACACTTTAAGAGGAAAGATATAGAAATAGTGACATAGGGTGGGATCCCCAAGTAACTGATTTGACCAGATGACTGTATAGTGAAGCTCGAACTCAACAAGGCTTAACCACCTGCTTCATATTAGCTCTTTAGTTCCTCACTCTTACATATGAGGAGATAACAAGAATTATCAGACATCAGAGAACACTTCAAGTATCAGTCAGAGATCAAAACAATTTTAAAAAGGCAACTTAAAAGAGACAGAAACTGCACAGAGACCTTACAAACAAATTTTAATGCTTAAAAAAAAACAAAAAACCTTTCCAGAGAGAAAGAAGGCATTATAAAATGAGGATACAATCTTGAAAAAGGAAATCAATGAAATAATTCAAGGCTGCATTTGTTAAGGAAAAATGCTTGGTTGGCTATGTTATTTGCTATCAAATGTTCGATAGTAAAGGAATTATAACAAATAAAAGGAAATCTATGTTCTTTTTCAAACAGTTTGCAGTTAAGTACTGCTATCTTTGTTGGTGTAGCAGAAATGAAAGAGTGAGCTGGAGAGAGATACAGGATGGCAAAAGTGTTACCCCAAATATTCCCTCTATCATTCTTACTTTTCTATTATGTAGAAGCAGTATAATGCACATACCTTCCAATATACCATTATCTAAAACAACAAACCCTAAATTAATCTAAGAACAAAAAAAACCTCCCACAGCCTGCTCATATGCTCCCACCATTAGTTTCCCTAAGAAAGTGATCACTGCCTGGCTAATGATGAAAAAAATTTGCTTTTGAAATGACCCTTGTTTTTATAAAAAAGTAATGACTCTGGCCTTTGGCCCATCTATCAGTCACAAAAAAATCTCTGTATAGCTGCCAATTGGGGAAAAGAAATATGACAGAAATTGCCAGATTCTCCCATTTGCCTTCTCTGAGGAAAATGGGCCACCAGGTGTTTCTAGTTATCAAGAGGAGCTAGAGGAACTTCCATCTTGTCTTGAGGAGAAGTAGTCCTCCTTTCAAATTTGAGTAAAACTGTGTTTGCAGACTTTGTGGTGGCAACACTTAATTTAAGACAGAACTTCTTTACAATTCACTTCTTTTATAAATCAGCTATCATTAATTAGATGCCATTCACTAAGTTTTATGCACATGTCTCACTTTCCCTTTACTCTTCCTCTACGCCAGTATTATGTCTCACTGAATGGTACCATTATTCATTAGCAGCTCAAGTCAGAACCCTGGGAATTATACTCAAGTTCTTTTGTTCAGCATCCTCTATTCACTCTTGACACTCAGTTCTGTCAATTTCATTTCTCAAATTAAGTCAAAGCCACTCTCTGGGGTATAAGGCCCTCAGCTATTTTCATCAGGATTACTACTGCTCCAATATTTCAGCCTCCTGACTGGGCTCCTGCCACCACCCCTTTCAAAAATTAATTTTTCACTAATTCTATAATATATGTGAAAGAGAAGTTCATGCCTTAATGAACTGCATTATGAATATCTTAGGTGATGGACATAAATGCCCTTAAAAGTTTCCTTGAATTAAACGATTTTGAATATTGATACTTACTTTGGGAACGCATCAAAACAGTAGGTCTTCTTGGTATCAGGAAAAGCAACTCGCATTCCTGAAGTCAAAGGAGAATGAAGAATAACAGCAGCACTCTCATACCGAGCAGCAAGATCCACAGATGGTACTGTCCCTATACTTTGGCCATATATAATCACATTTTCAGGGCGAATGCCATATCTATAAAGTTCAGAAATTAAGGAAAAAAAAGAAGGTGGAGAGTTGGACTGGTATGAAATATTCAATCATTTTCTAGGACTTAATCTTGTAATAGAATGATTTAGAATGAGACAATGCCAACTTTATATTTAAAATATGTTTCTTAGCCATCATTATCATGTTTACTGCTACAATAAAATCTATATTCTTAGCCTATTTCATCTGTTTCATCTTTTGGAAAAATAATTGCTGAGGTCTTTTAAAATTTCAAACTTAAATGAATTCATTGAATAACTCATGCAATTCAATGTGGCATAATCACTAATATTTTACTTATTTAAAAGATTTTATTTATTTATTTATTTATTTATATGAGAGAGAGAGAGAGAGAGAGAGAGAGAGAGACCGAGAGACACACAGCTAGAAAGGGAACACAAGCAGGGGGAGTGGGAGAGGGAGAAGCAGGCGTTCCACTGAGCAGGAAACCCAATGTTGGGGCTCAATCCCAGAACCCCAGGATCATGACCTGAGCCGAACGTAGCCGCTTAATGGGTAAGCCACCCAGGCGCCCCACATCACTAATATTTTAGTAGACTGATGTTTAACAGACTGTTTATTTTCCATTCTATGTAAGAAAAGTTCTTTGTCTACACCTCAAATGTGGCTCACTTTATTTTTTAAAGATATTTTTATTTATTTATTTGACAGAGAGATACAGTGAGAGAGGGAACACAAGAAGGAGTGGAAGAGGGGGAAGCCTGCCCTGAGTAGGGAGCCTAATGCGGGGCTTCTTCCAAGGACCCTAGGATCATACCCTGAGCCGAAGGCAGATGCTTAATGGCTGAGACACCCAGGTGCCCCTCATTTTATTTTTTGAAGTTGGTTACGATGATTAAAAGGGCTACATATGGTTACTATATGGAATAAAAAATATATATATATTTTAGCTGAAAATAAATTACTATTTTTCTTGAAAGTTGCCTTTACTATGGACTAATGATTGGAAAGATAAAGATATCAAAGAGAATTTCAAATACTTTATGATTCAGTTAATTATGAACAAACTTCATGCTAAAATCTCGAGTATTGCTTTATCTCCTTTAAAAATGCTACAGGGGTGCCTGGGTGGTTCAGTGGGTTAAAGCCTCTGCCTTCGGCTCAGGTCATGATTCCAGGGTCCTGGGATGGAGCCCCGCATCAGGCTCTCTGCTCAACAGGGAGTCTGCTTCCTCCTCTCTCTTTGCCTGCTGTTCTGCCTACTTGTGATCTTTGTCTGTCAAATAAATAAATAAATAAATAAAATCTTAAAAAAAAAAAAAAAAGCTGCAGATTTAAATACGTCAACTCTTGCCTCAAATATATCAGATATAATCTACGTTCCAAGCACTGTTACTTGTTTATGGTATAATTGTCCCAAATGTAAACTATTCCAAGCAGAAATGAAGTGCTACAGGAGCTAATGAATGTGGGGTTAGAAGTTAGAGTAAGATCAAATATGCTTTTCCACTTTAAAAGCCTGAAAGCAGTCACTTATGGATGCTAAGGGCCATTTGCACAACAGCATCTGGTTTTTGGAAAAGGTAATGTAGCTTTCCAAGTATCTAAATATGAAAAAATAGGGCGCCTGGGTGGCTCAGTTGGTTAAGCAACTGCCTTTGGCTCAGGTCATGATCCCAGCGTTCTGGGATCAAGCCCCAAACAGGCTCCCTGCTCAGTGGGAAGCCTGCTTTCTCCCATTCCCCCTGCTCATGTTCCTGTTCTCCTCGTCACTCTCTTGCTGTCAAATAAATAAATAAAATCTTAAAAAAAAAGAAAAAAAAGAGAGAGAGAGAGAGAGAGAGAGAAGTCTTTTTCTTTACAAGACCTCACTGTAATTCTTCACTGGAGTTAAGTTACCAAAATGAACATTTAGGGGTGCCTGCGTGGCTCAGTCATTAAGCATCTGCCCTCAGCTCAGGTCATGATCCCAGAGTCCTGGGATCAAGTTCTGCATCGGGCTCCATGCTCAGTGGGAAGCCTGCTTCTCCCTCTCCCACTCCCCCTGCTTGTGTTCACTCTCTTGCTGTGTCTCTGCCAAATAAATAAATAAAACCTTAAAAGAAGGAGAAGGAGAAGGAGAAGGAGAAAGAGAAGGAGAAGGAGAAGAAAATGAACACTTCCATCATCAGCATTAACTCTTGAGGCTGCGTGGTTGCTTTTAGCTGAATAGCAGAACTGCTGGATGTTAACTACGGGTTTTAGGCTAATGTTAGCAATGGCAAGGCTCCAGAGTAGAAGGAGATGCCAATTTAGCATCAGAGAACTCAAAGCAGTAACAGAATTTCAGAGAAGTACAACTTGGACTTTAAAGACTATCTAATCTAATTCAGCTGCTTACGAAGTAGATGCTCAAAGTCAGAATAAGCCAGTGGCAAACCTATAATTAGAACCCAGGTACCCTAACTCTTAGGCCAGTGACTTTTTAATAACACACAGATAATGAGCTCAAAGACTGTTACACTACTTAGAAATTCATCTGTTCAGCCCTTGTTTCTCATTCATTAAGTATGTGTGGTCAACTTTGTTTAAAAAGATGAATTAAATCAAGACTAGAAATTATTTTATAAAGTTTCCTTCAAATTGATCAGACGAGATGAAAAATAGGAAGAAGTTAACCACCTACAAGGTTTTATTTTTTATAACATATACGTAGAACACTGAATTGAATACTAGTATGTTCTGGTTGAATAAAGTTATCTTTTCATGTTACTGAGAAGCACTAATAATGAAGGCTATCTGCTAGAACTTAGCATCCTTAAAAGCTGTTCTAATCCACTGAAGTTATACTTTAAAATGAGCTGTATTCTCAATCAATCATTAAAAATATTTATTATCATATTTTCCTGACAGGTACTATAACTAGATTCAATTGGCTGAGTCTGGAAAGTGGGAACTCATTTATTTTTGTTTGTACAACTGAGGGGACTGACATCATTATACCTGAAACAGATTTTGACTCTGGTCATTTAAGGCAGTTTTTTTTTTTTTTTTTTTTAAGTATTTCTCTTTTGTTAGATTAGTAACCCCATTTTTTTTTTTTTAAGATTTTATTTATTTGACACAGAGAGAGAGAGAGAGAGAGAGAGAGAGAGAACAAGCAGGGGGAGGAACAGGCAGAGAGAGAGGGAGAAGCAGACTCCTTGCTGAGTAAGGATCCCAATGCAGGACTCCATCCCAGGACTCTGAGATCATGACCTGAGCTGAAGGCAGCTGCTTAACCAACTGAGCCACCCAGGAGCCCAAGGCAGTTTTTAAGTTTATAAATTTTTACCATTTCCTGTCCCCCACAACTCATTACCAACTTTTGTACCATTCACCATCTTTTCTAACTCATTAGGATGTTTTTATATCATTTCAAATGATTTAAGAAACCTCTTTATAGGAAACGTTGTTATGAGAACATCGTTTTATTATGTATCTTATAGGATTAAATGCTTCAAAAAGTATTTTCTAAAAAAGGTTATGCCTACTAACAAAATTGTGGAGGTTCTAACTAAAACCATTAATATTTAAACATTAAATTATGAATGATTAAGTTTTCTTTGAGTCCTTTAGCTTTAGTTTAAAATACTTTGGAAATCAGGTAGCTTATCAGTGGATAATATGAGGAATAACTTGAACTAAGACATCTTTATTGTACACGAACCATCTGATGGAAAAAACCCGGAAATCTACAAAACAGCAATATTTTTCAATACTGAGGACTAGGAAAGATTAAAGCAATTTCTAGTTCTCAAAAATGTATTGTTATAACTAAAGAATAACTGAAATGCTAAGAGAATTTGCTTAAATGATTTATCACAGGGCGCCTGGGTGGCTCAGTCAGTTAGTCCCATGTCCCACATCAAGCTCCTTGCTGCTCACCAGGGAGCCTGCTTCTCTGTTTCTCAGCAGAGGAGCCCCTTTGCCTGCTGTTCCCCCAGCTTGTGCTCGCTCTCTGTCTCTCTCTCTCTCGAATAAATAAAATCTTAAAAAGAAAAAGATTTATCATAAATTACCTTTTCTTTACATGAGATCATGTTTCCAAATTTTATTAGTCCAGAATGCAAAGTAAAAAAATCTCACTTTTACAGAATGCTTTAAAATTAGTTCCAATAAAATACCTGTAAGTCATACTTGTAAGAGATTACTACATAAAATAATGCAAACCCTGGTTTATGATTTTAACAAAAACAATCCAGCCTCTTATACTCTTAATGATAGATTAAGTAAATCATTAGCTAAGTCAGTTATTTCTCATCCCTTGAAATGTTGCACTGCAACTTTGAATAAACATTTTTATACCATACTCTACATGTTTATAAAACCAAGTATTTGTCATTGGCTTAAATTTTAAAGAAAATCACACACATGCACTAACAGACACAAATGAGATCTGTCTTAAAAACTATGTAATTCTGGGGTCCCTTTTGGCTTCATCAGTTAAGCACCGGCCTTCAGCTCAGGTCATGATCTCAGGGTCCTAGAATTGAGCCTCACATCCAGCTCCCTGCTCATAGGAGGCCTGCTTGTCACTCTCTTCCCTGGCTTGTGCTCTCTCAAATAAATAAAATCTTAAAAAAAATAAAATAAAATCACTTAAAAAAATACGCTATTTTAAAAAATTTAAAATTATAATCTAAGAGCTTAATTCTTTTCTTTCTTTTTAAAAAGATTTTTAAATTTATTTGACAGAGAGAGACACAGAGAGAGGGAACACAAGAAGAGGAAGTGGGAGAGGAAGAAGCAGGCTTCCCACTGAGCCTTAATGACTGAGGTACCCAGGCATTCCTAAGAGCTTAATTCTTAGTAGGTATCTATTGGTTAATATAATCTCTATTTAGTACTTCAAAACATGTGTTATAAAAACTACTTTTTTAATATAAGACAATTTTAGTTAACCATCATAATGTGCAAAACAATTTCCAATCATGATTTACCTTGTCCTAAGAGCAAGCCAAGCAGCTTCGATATCTGCATAGAGGTTCTTCTCTGTTGGTTTCCCAGAACTTGCGCCATATCCAGAATAATCATATGAGAATATATTACAATTAATCCGTGATCCCAGTCCTATGTAAAAGCTGCTCATCTGCCCGAGATCAACAGCATTTCCATGTGAGAAGAGTAAAGTATATTTGGCGTTGGGTGAACAACGCACAAACATGCAGGCAATTCTGTTGCCTTTACTGGTTCTAGTCATGAAACACTCAATAGCATCTTTTTCTCTAGAAGAGTATTGCCAGTCTGCTCGTTCTGATAGATGTAAAGTCCAGCGGCTTCCACTTTCATCACACATCAACGTGTAAGTAGGATCAGGTGGCAAAAACGCTAATTTTGAAGCAATTTTCCCAGGGCAAGGTGGACAGCAGAAGAGGCAACATAGCTCACTAAATGAAAGATTATTCATCTTCTGAAAAAGAAGAGATAGCAAATGTTTTAATTATCGAATATGGATTCTGCATTTTCATACAACAGAAGGTTAAAATAAAGGCACTGGTAAATTCTACTGCTGTTCAGTGTCTACTGCTATTATTTCAAGTATCCTTTGCCTAAACAGATTTTTGGAATCATTCTAGAAATAATTGAAATCCTCTGGTGAGGCAAATATTCCTGATCAGGAGATACTCCACCATTATAGGATGTCTCGAATAGTAGTGATTATATATTATGATATTTAACCAAAATATGAAAACTAATATGAAGAGTAGAGGTAATATTTGTTCTTGCTCTACAGATAACAGCACAGGAGGTATAAAGTATCTTTAGAGTAATGTGTAATTTTAAGTCAGTGAAAGTTCTCAGAATCCCATGGAAAGGTTAAGTATTTAACATGATACAGTAAATATATAACTATACCATATACATTGTTCATTTTCATAAATGAAATGCTTGCTATTTGGCAGGTATTCTATGTGTTATTACCACATTTAATCCTCAAAACCACCATGGTTGATTTGAGAAAAGAAGCTTGCACAGTGTGAGGCAGCAGTGGAGCCAGGATTTGACAACAGGCTCAACACTGTTCTACATCCCTGGGCTATACTGCCTCAAAGGCTCAGAAAACTATTTGTCTCAGATGTCTATCATTTATTTCTTTTAGCCATACTTCCAGTGGCTCAAGTAACTTATAAAACATTAAAACATATGTCTCTATGTAATTATTGCTCAAATTAAAAAGGATACAATATAAAGGCTACAAAAAAAAGGATAAAATCTGCTAACATTTCTTACATGGTTAGATGGGAAGGAGTGGTATAAGGTTTGAAGTCAGAAACGGTTGGAGTGGAGTTCCAACTCTACCACTTACTAGCTGTTGTTTGCTCTTGGGCAATTGTTTACCCTTTCAAACCTCATTGTCTTCCTAAGTAGATGAGGTCAATGCCTGGTTGTGAAGAACAAGTATCATGATGTGGTTAGGACATATACTACAGTAGTGGGGATACAAATGGCACACTTAAGGATGGTCCACTCTCTCTGTCTTTTGCATTAATATTTTTCAAGTACTTAGCTGATATTGAATCACGAACAAAAATAGGGTAATACCTGTTTGCCCTACAAGCCATTTCTTTTTATTTTGTCCTTTCTCAAATTTACTACCTCTTTTTAGCAGTAGGGGATGATTGCTTAGTTCCAGGAAGAAGGCATTTAAAAGAAACACCTTCTAGAGATTTGGTGGCACCTAATCTTCTACAAAAAAATCTAAACAGGAGGATGGAAAAAAAAATGTACATCACACCATCTGGAAAGTAAAAAAATGTCCTTTTCACCCACCACAGAATCAAAATCTTGTTCATATGTTCAACAGACATGTACTAATTTCCCTGTGTAAACTAATTAGGTAGAAAGGAGGAGAAACACCACACAGAGAAACAAAGACAGGAGTGATATAAAAGGCTTTTAAAAAGTAAGAGGAGGGCAGGAAAGTGTCTCTTGGAAAATAGGAAACACCTTTACTTGCTAGTCTATCTTTAGTCCTTTTCAACCTTCAAAAAAATATAGCACGAGTAAGTTAATGTCATAGTCTAGTTAATGTCAGAGTCTAGTTGGAAAAGGAGTCTGATAAAATAGAAATGACAATGAGGTGTCATCTTTAGTGATCACTCTGGCTCCGTGAAACACTGTACTGAGAAGGATTCTAAGGGCATATGCAAGGCTTGGCAGGCAAAAAACATGTCATAAATTAGTGATGTCTACCATAGGAGTTGGCTACAGATTTATTATCCTGGTCATGAGGATATAAGACGTGGTGAAGAGGATAGCAGGAAAGAAAAGTTCAAAGGGTCAGTTTAAGAGAAGGAGATGACCTAGGGGGAAAAAAAGATGAGGTATGATATTATTAATGCTATCTGCTTAATAATCTGTCTACAGCTATTTCTTGCTTCCAATTACCTTACAACTAGCAACTGCTAACCCTCAAGAGTCTATTAAAAGCTTGGTTGATAATAAGCTGTACATAGCTATATGTTCCTATAATTTACCTCTTGAACATGAAGACTTTTATATATATAATAATAATGTAAATTAATTTATGTAATGTAATTTAAAAATAATGTGGCTGACTGAATGTACGTAATACGCAGAGTTGCTTCTGGGGACGAACACCAAAGGAGAGAGGGAGAAAAGGTGCAGTGAAAGGATCTACTCTAATGAAAGGACAACTTGATTTTTTTTTTTTTTTTTTTTAAAGATTTTGATTTTTGAGAGAGAATGAGACAAGGAGGGTCAGAGGGAGAAGCAGGCTCTCTGCTGAGCAGGGAGTCTGATGTGGGTGGGAATCCATCCTGGGACTCTGGGATCGTGACCTGAGCTTAACAAATTGTGCCACCCAGGCAAACAAAAACCTTACTTCTTAATGGCAGTGGAATAAATTATTCCTACCACCATAGCCCCAAACCAGATAAGTGGTGTCTATTTAATAATAAAAACTTGCAAATTATCACTTTTCTAATAATAGGCCTGGTATAGGACAGCAACATAGACTTGCTTAAAGAAAGAAGTATAAATAACCTAAATTTTAGTATCATCAGAGCTAAACAAGTTATTGAGGAAAAAATTTTATTCTTGAAATTAAAAACATTAAATATCTTGGCAGTTGCTCAGGAGCTCCCTCGGCATCAACCACCAGCTGGAGGTGAGCGACGATCCGCCACGCTAGAGGCGCCCGGAGCAGACATGGACATGTCAGAAGAAGCAGCTGGCCAATCTAAGATCCAGGATGATGATTGTTGCATTCTTACTGTGGACTCAAGCAGTGATGAAGAGTTTGAGCCCTTTGGAACCAAAAAGAAGGAGCAGAAAAGGAACTTCAGCTATGTGGTGATTGACTCTGACTCTGAAGACGAATACTTCAGTGATAAGGTCAGAGCTCACATATCTGACGTCAGCAGCGAAGATGAGATTCTGGATGTGTTATCAGACACCGAGGAGCAGCCTGCCACCAAGGAGCCGCCAATAGTTATTACCGATGATGACAGTGATTTTGAGGGCCCTGTGCTCATAATAGACGAGGATTCGTATGATCAGGGCCAAAGTGCCTCAGAGGAAAAAGAGATGGAGGTCTTCACTGTCTCCCAAAGCAGTTCCTCTAATGATGCTGGGGAGCTGAATCGTGGTGAAAATCTGGGCCAGCCACCATGTGGTGCCAAAGCCGAGGTAGAGATTGCAGATGACAAGCCCGCACCTGTGGTGGAGCAGCCACGGAAGAGGAAGAGTAAGACCAAGAATATATGTGTGACACCCGCTGTGAGAGTCTCCAAAAGACGTGCGCCTACAAAGAAGAAGCCCGGTGCAGGGAAAATTGAAAAATGCACGCCCGGGAAAGCGACGTGCAAAATACCTGGATGTTTCCTGCGTGACCTGGAAAACGAGAAGCAGTATTCTGGAAGGAAATTCAAGCAAAATAAGGATAGCCTGGTTCAGAAAATCTACACCCTGTTTAACAGCTCGGTGTTTAATAAAAAGCTACCAGAGAAAATTGATATTGGCTGGAATAAAAAGATGCTGAGGACCGCTGGCTTATGCACCACGGGTGAGACCCGTTACCCTAAGAAGCAGCGTTACGCGAAGATCGAGATTTCCCTGAAAGTCTGCGACTCCGCAGACCGTCTCCGGGACACTTTGATCCATGAGATATGCCACGCAGCCTCCTGGTTGCTTGACGGCATCCATGACTCTCATGGGGACGCATGGAAGTATTATGCCAAGAAATCGAACATGGTGCACCCGGAGCTGCCCATGGTCACCCGCTGCCATAACTATAAGATTAACTACAGGATCCATTATGAATGTACTCGGTGCAAAACCAGGGTTGGCCGCTATACCAGATCCTTGAACACCGATCGCTTTATCTGTGCCAAGTGCAAGGGGCCTCTGGTCATGTTGCCGCTAACTCGCAAGGATGGAACCCCCATTGCGCCCCATGTGAGGCCCTTTGCTAAGTATGTGCAGGAGAATTATAGAACGATTAAGCATGAGACGGAAGGGATAAGCCATGGGGATGTGATGAGACGGCTGAGCAAGGATTATGCCGATAAGCGAAGGCAGGATCGTTGAGGTTATCTGGGGGCGTATTTCTGTAGGCTGAGCCTCCCCCTTAACTGCTAAGAAATTTTAGAAAAATATCTGTTTTGATAAGTGATGAATATTAGGAATATTAGGATTTAAACCATTTCTTTATAGCCTCATAGTGTTAACGATGATTGTTCTCAGGCAAGGATTCTGCTACTAAGCAATTTTGTGACCTTGAGGTACTCGTAAGCCCTTTGGATCAGATCCACTCTGGGTATTACTCTTAACATAGTTTTAACATGTAGAACACAATTCAGACACAAACTGCATTTTCAAGAGGGGCAGGTGGAGAGAAGGAGAAGGATGCTGGAGGTGATCGAATTTTAAAGGCCGCGCTCCAAGACCAGGGCTGCTGGCAGGTAGAACATGTTATACTTAAATAGACATAAAAGACAAGCATATTTCATGAATTTAGTTGCTCTTGACATTGAATAAACCTGTGCTGAGCCAATGTAATTGTTATTAAGACAAAAAAAATAAATAAAATGTTTCATGAAAAAAAAAAAAAAAACAAAACATTAAATATCTTGCTAAATTTAGTTGATTTTAAGTCCCATTTGTTTTAGTATATGCTCTGCCGAAGTGAGCACAGTCCCATTTGTTTTATATAAAATTCAGCGGAATAAAAATATATCATTCACCAGTTATTTCTTGGCTAACAAAGTCTTGAAGAGACAAGGCAGTAAATAATTGTAGGGGTAAAATCATGAACATCTGAAAGTACACAACAGCAAACAACAGATGACTAATTAGATAATTTAGAGCAGAATTTTGGACCAGACAAAACAAGGATTTAAAATAGTGGTGCTAGGCTGGCTTAGTCAGTGTAGCATGTGACTCTTT